ACAAATATGTTTTAATATACAAACAACAATACAATTTACAATAACAGTTATTACAAATAGTTATTAAGAACAATCATTTATGTACAAAAGTCTCACAAACTTACAAAGAATATAAAGTCTTCTTTCTAGTTTGGAACTTCCTTGATATCTATTCGAGGGTTGACTATGAGCGAGTTAGTTTCGAGTTGACGTGGGTATAATTCACTTAATAGGGAGCTAGCTAGCTCTGTAGTTCTCGCACACGCCGATTATAGGCCGAGTTTCGTTTACCGCTGAAGTTATATAATATCTTTGTAAAAGTACTAATGTCAGATGTGAATCCAATGAAGTTGAATGATTTGTAATGTTCGACATTTATAAACGTTCCTGGTCAATATATCTGAAGTTCCCGATTAATAAGCGGTAATCACAGTTATAGCTTACGAAGTTAATAGCACACCAATTACAGCAACCCAATAATAGATACTGTTTTTTGGCGCTTCGCGTTGGTTATATTTATAGGCGTGTGGAGAGTTTGTCGAAAATTCAGATTACGTAACAATACAAAGCTATATTAGCGTTTACATACACAGATATATTGTTGATTCTTACACTCGAGAATCTTCTACAACTGTAGAGAATAGGCGGAAGTTTCGCAATACATATTTAACACTATAAGCTATTTATGTTTCTAAATATAAATTTAATCTAAACAAACGTCGATATTAAAATAAATATGTAATAACAAATCCGTCACACTGAGGTGTTATTACTCGTCTAGTTTTATAATGCTTACGCTATTACACTCTTAGTAAACCATGTGTTGCACCCGGTGGCTCAAGGGTAAGTCTGAGAGGTTATAACGCTAAAGATCGGGTTTTAATACCCGTCGTAGGCAGATCATAAATGGCTCACAGGTAGGTTTGCACTTAACAATAAACAAACGTGTTTCCACACACACAAAAAGTACTTTATTAACACAATTGAACACACGTTCTCACACGAACAATTATCAAATATATTATTAAATATGGCTTAGATATAATTGTTACATGAACAGAATTTTGATATTTATTATATATATATTGATCTGAGCGATGCTAGTAGTTAACGCCTCTGTTTCTATGATTTAAGTAACTTATTTTAAAGAAAATTATGTTCAGAGTGTTTCTCTTCTTAAGAATCTGTAGTTTATTGAAAATATATAAAGTTTTGAAATAAGATGTTAGTATTATCCTACAATTAACTATTTCAAATCTTTATCTAGGCTTGATAATTAAAGTGGTACCTCTTAAAAAGAAATAATGTATATTTTATTGTTATCTAAACGTTTGCTGGTTTATGCTATAACTCTACAATTTTTTTTAACACTTTCATGTATACCGAACACTCTGATATTTTTTATTAATGCATATTTTAAATATTCACTTTAGATATTCTTTCTCTATAGTTTTCTGAACACAGAAATTCATTTTAACAAATGAAGCAGCTTTAAAATCTTTATTGTATATTTTACAAATCAGTTTTAAACATATTCTCTATATATATATACTGAAATGTTCACTTACCGTATATCCAAAGTAAAGAAATATCCAAAAGCAAACATAAGAACTTTCCAAAAGATATCATGAGTTCTAATGGACAATAATATTTTCAAATCCAAAACTTGTGTTCTATACTTGTGACGTTTCACTGAAGTGCCTTTTTGCAAACCATAGAAGTACTAAAACCACGCCTCTTGGAAAACGCTGTCATGTTAATATGCGTTTCGGGTTTGTTTATTCCGCTAACCTGGCTTCAGATACTAACAGGCACGCCATCCAAGTAACACTGGCTTCTTCGTGTTCATCAGGTTCGTTTAAAACGCCGCGCAAGGGAGCTTTGCATGCGCCAACAAACGAGAGGCATGAAATAGAATACAAACTGCACAAATGTAAGAGGTGCGTTAGAAATTAGCTTCGCAGGAGGGAAAAGGGAGGAGGACTGGTCGATTCTTGCTGTGGATCACGAGGCCGCGCCTGAACTTCGATACTTTCATTTTGGTCCAAGTATTGGTCCAAGTACATTCTTACGCGGTTTGCATGCAAAGCAGCAGTTTAATATTGGAGCAGAGTAAACCTTTCATTGCATTAGCTGATAGGAATGTATAATATATATATATATATATATGTGTGTGTATATACATATACATGGACTATGTTATCTCAATATCGATTTCTTGGAAGTTCTAGTTCCTTCAGGTTACAGATTGTTTAATTTTAGAGAATATATAACCTATCTTTCTTATTAAATAATTATCTCACTTAATAGTTTCTTATTGTTATAAATATTTATTAGAAATACATATTTAAAATATTTATCGTATCGCTATTTGAGGTCAAAGTAAAAAGAAAAATAATGCTTTCAATTAGTTGTAACAATTCATAGATATTTATTTTTACAGTTTCAGGTTTCATAAATCAGAGGTTCGATTCCCTACTATGGACAGAACGTAGATAGCCCATTGTATAACTTTGTGCTAAGAAACACCATCATAATTTTAGGAATGCTAGAAACTAGATCAAGATTACGACAATTAAATATCTATATCTGAAACACAAACATTTGTCATTTATAGAATCATCTCTAGCAAACATTTATGGGTGTCGTTTGGTGGACTTTTCGGTATTTTATATTATATCAAGTAACCAATACTTTTTTCTACAACCGTGAGATATTCATTTCCTGAATAATGAAAAATGTGTTCATTAATACACGAACTTTAAAGCTATTGAAAAAAAAAAGGTTAACACTAAAAATAATACTTTTATAATGATCACAGAATATCGTTAATTTGTATTGCAAAAATAGCCCTATAGCCATGTTTCAAACTTAATTCTCTCACAATAAGACGAATTATACTTCTTGGCAAGACTTATAAACTTTTACACATCTGTGGTAATTAGACATATAGATTCCCACAAACACATTTGCAGTTTCATAATCAAAGATATATCTTAAGCTTTTTGAGTAAAAGCTAGTAATTAAAGATCAACCCAAGTATATGCACAGTCTACAATATTAGTTTGCTGTCATTATTGTTGGTTTACAAACTCGGTGTCGAAATTCAAGTTCCAGAGATTATTACATATGCTTTCATGATGTTGAATCTAACCAGTCGCCCCGGAACGACGTGTTCCTGTCAAACAAATATAACTAGTGAATACAGAGAATGATTACATAGCCTAGATTGGTTGTTTCAAGCTTGCGTGAAAGGAGATTGTAAGCTGATAGAGGTTTTTAAACAAGAAATACATTATCACGAAATCATCTGGAACGTTCAATTTACATGCGTTGCTACAGGACGAGTTTATTTAAGCGAAATTAAATACGTTTCTGTTCTAACACGAACCCGCTTTAAACAAACTTTAAATTTAAAGGAACGAGAACTTTAACTTAGGAGTAATGGAGATTAGAGTGTGCAGGCAATTAAAGCAATCTTTGGTTTAAAATGAGGTACACTTGGAATGAGTATACGTTGAACTTTAACTATTATTTATTAGAAAATCGATTCAAATAAGGGTTTATGTTTGATGACTTGTGATTCTATTTTAACCGACGTTATATTATCATTATTATTTCGAAACACTATCATATGTTTTCTAACTATTTTGCAATCAGTACAAATTAAAAGGATTTTGATCAAAACAGATTTTTCAGACAAACTGAATACATTGGAAGGAAAATAATTAAATTAAATTGATTAATCATCTCATAACACAATAGAGTTCTACTAACTAATTGCTAAAAATTGAGATAATAAATAATTTTAAAACGAAGAATGAATTCAAGGAATGTAGTTTTAGGAAATTGTAAAAATATATTACGATACTCTCTAAAAATGTCGTTTTATTCAAAACGAGTCTTCTTTAACGCATGGATCTACTTTATTATTTACTTTTTACCTAAAGCTAGCAACTGGTAATTTACACTAATGTAACAAATAATGTTTCGTGAAAAAACTGTATAAGATCATATATATATACACCTGGAAAAAAGTTAAGCACCCCCGTGTTTTTTTCAAGTGATTCAGATTCGACGTTCTTGTG